TAATCTCGTCGAAGGCTTTCCTCGCTTTCTTCAGCTCTTCATTCATCGACAAGAGATCCCTAACTCTGGAGTACTTGCGTTCATCCCGTTTGACGCAATGGAGGACGTCTTCGACGGATATCTTGCCATTTTTGCCGACTTCCTGAGCCTTCAACGAGATGTCAGCGACAAACTGGATGACGAGGTCTTCGAGCATATCGACGGACTCAGTGAAGGGGTTGTGGTCATCACCGAAGCCATACATCATACACCGTAACTCCTTCCCAAACACCCGCTTCCGACGCTCCGACCCCTCTGTCATGGCGTCCGAGTCGTTGTCCATCTCCGCCAACTCATCCCTATTGGACGCGTTGGATGTGTTTTGCGATGACATGTCCGACGTCTGCATCACCCAAACGATCACTTCAGACGTGAAGCAAACACTTTGTAAACACTGTTTGTATCACTCATTGGACCAAACAATGCACTCATTATTGGCTCGCATTTCAAACACGAGTTTCAATCGTAATGTTTCCACTGTTTCTCATTTTCTTTGCTAATCGTTATAATTATTCATTAAGACATCAAATCATTAAATATTTATAATTCAGTGAATATGTGCTTACATTTAGTAATTGCAAACTTAGTTGATTGTCATCAAACAATTATTAAAACACAATTTATTTAATTTTAAAATTAATTATTTTATTTTAGAAATTCATAAAACTTTAAGGCAATGGTATTAAAGAGATAGAAATACAACGAGAATTGAATTTTGGATAAAATCCAGCAAATTATTGAAAGAAAATAGGATTAGGACGGGTTGGCATAACTAGCAAACCATAATCATATGGTTGAGACAGTCTGAGCGCTCAACATCTCCCCATCCGTAGTAAAACTTGTGGTCAACTTTGCCGACCACTTGAGTCTCATTTGGACCGAAATGTAGGTCACATTTGCCCACAAATATGGGGTTTGAGTTCGAGTTATGACCGGCAACGAAGGCCCGATCGGGTACAACATCGCCGCCATGCCTTTCCACCCAATCGTAGTCGTGTCCCTGAAGTACTTCATAACCCGATTTTATTGAGTAGGCTTTCCCTCCCTTCGTTACCACACATCCGATATTTTCATTTGCTTTTCCCGGAATAATATCTTGGTCCTGTTTATGGCGACAAATATACAGAGGTTTTGAGTCGATATCAAAGCCACCGATGATTGCATTTTCGGGTATTTTAGTGCCAGTTATGGACTCCCATTGTAGGGAACAGTTGACTGATTTGAAAGAATATTTCTATTAATTCCTAATAAATAGGATACTAAGGATACTAAGGATGTAATGCAAGAATATTATATTATTAATACCTCTCTTAGTGTTGTCCTCAATGGTCATAATGAATGTTCGGATCTGTTGTGGACTCAATTGAATCTTCGAGACATCATTGGAGGGCTGACTGTAA